TTAGCCAATAAGCTGAGGGGCTGCAAAAGGCCCTTGTGATGTCACTGCCACACCCACCCCTGCCCTTCAGGGCTAATGTCCGGCCCCAGGCAGCCCCTTTGCATGGCTGAGCTGCTCCTCCCAGGGGTAAAAGTGACACATTTCTTACAGGGACTGTTCTATTGGGCACCGGCCTTTGGGCTGGGGGAGGCTCAAGGCAAAAACAAGGGGGTTTCAGTGAAGCTACATGTGAATGGATCCATCTAGCAACCACTGCCAGCCACACGCACAGGGGGGAGGTTTTTGTGCAAGTGAAACATGCAGTGGAGACATACTGGGAGAGAAGGGCAAGGGCAAGGGGTGGAAGGCAGGTACTTCAAGCTACATGTGAATGGATCCATCTAGCAACCACTGCCAGCCACACGCACAGGGGGGAGGTTTTTGTGCAAGTGAAACATGCAGTGGAGACATACTGGGAGAGAAGGGCAAGGGCAAGGGGTGGAAGGCAGGTACTTCAGGTGCCAAAGTAGGTCAGTTTGGAGAGCATTAGACTGAAGCTGTAAAGGTCCCTGGTTCAAGCACAGACATTAACAAAAGCTTTTGTTCTGAGGCCCAAGGGAGGGCTCTGGGGTCTCAGGCAGGGGGGCTCTCAGCAAACTGGGCTCTCAGAGCACAGGGGAAGTTTGGGGGTTTGTTGCTTGTCTCCTGACTTTGTCCCATTTCCTGTCTCTTTTCCTGAGCTGACCCAGAGGCTGAAAGGGACGGTGGCTGCTGCTGGGTGGGACGGGGGGGGGGAGAAGAAGGACCCGGCAGAAAGAGGGTCAAGCGTCCAAACCCCTCTGTGCCAGTTGGCCTCTGATCTTGGCCACCCAGCAATCGCTCTGATGAGGCCATCACCGGTGGCCTGTGGGCCTAGGTGAGCTAAGCAGCTGCGTAGGGCACTGCTAGCCCGGGCGCCCAATGATGTCACGGCCATTGACCACCGTGCAGGCCCCGCCTAGGGTGCCATCTGCTGCAGCCAGCCTCCGGCCACTCCTGGAGATCATAACATGTGAAGGGGGAATTTTCACTGCTTCTGTCCTTTGGGGTGGAAGCCCAGCTCCCCCAGGGTTCAATGCAAGAAGACAGCCCAGCAGGGACTGAAAACCACTGCTCCATATGAGGTTTGAACTCACAACTTTAGCCTGTCTTTTGGGTGCATTGTCTTATAAGTACCCAGTGCTGACCAATTGCACCACTTTTGAAAAATCTTTTTACAAAGTCCTTAGATTGAAAAAGTCAAGAAGCACAAAGTAGAATTGGAGGAGAAGGGCAAGAAGATTGACTCTCAGATTTGCACAAACCAACACCTCACCAGCAGGCCACACTGAGATTTGAACTCAGATTGCAGAAATTAAAGTCCTGCCGCTTACATCATGGAACCATCACACAGCCCCATGTTTGAGTTTCTCAGCTGGTAGCTGATACTCTGCTCTCTTTGCTTTTTCCATTCAGTGGCTTCACCTCTCCAGACCCTGCCCATCTGTATGTGGTCTCAAGGGAACTATCTGGCTCCCTCTCCGGCAGAGGAAGGAGAAATGTTGCCATGTGTTACACATGTTGGCACCGTACAGACCCCGGTCCTGGGTCCCCTGCCCTGAGCTCCATGGGACAGGGAGAAACTCCAGGAGATAGTTCTCCTGGGATCACGTCGCACATGGATCCAAAGGATGAGGGGACCCAGACTCACCCTGTGGCCAGGGATGTGGGTTCCTAGAAGCTCCCACCTAGAAAGGACTCAGCTGCAGGGGGGGGTGGGTGGTGTCAGGAAAAAACTGGGGAGGAATTGGATGGCAGAGTTGCAGAAGTTTCTGGGAGGAGGCGAGTGCAGCTTCTTGGCTCTTGGGCTAAGTTCTAGAGCAGCAAAGGAGCTGCTGGACACTCTGCATGGCCCATGGGGAAGAGCTGTTCTCATGTTTCAGGTGGTCAAGTGTAGCTTCTCTGCCATTTGGCTGTGATCAAGCACTTCCTGCCTATTGGCAAAGAATGGTGAAAGTCCCAGCCGTGGGACCCACTTGTGCCCATTTTGGGGTATTAAAGAGATAACTCTGTAAGGAGCTTCATCGCTCCTTCTTCATTTTGCATTGGCTGGGAATTGAACCCAGGTCAACTGCTTGGAAGGCAGCTATGCGCACCACTATGCCACCAATGCCTGTGCCTGTTTCCTGGAATGGTTGTGGAGTCTGGGATGGAGACACCTGGGCGGCAGCAGCCACAGCTTCAGGACAACAAGAGGTGGAGTGTTCACAAGGTGCACTCCTCTCCCCTGCAGAGCAGGGTGTTAGAAAGAGCTAGGAACAGAACAGTTATCCAAGTTTCACTACCAAGTTGTGTTTCTGGTGTGAAGTGGTTATCATGTTTGCCTAGCATAGAAAGGTCCCTGATTAAAAGCCAAGCAGTAACGCAGGCTATGTCTACACTTGCAGATTCTTGCGCAAGTATTATGCAAATGAGGCTAAGCGTGGAATATTGCCAAGCCTCATTTGCATACCTAATGAGCCACCATTTTTTTCAGCAGAGGCTCTTGCGTAAGAAGGAGCATCTACACTGCCCCTTCTTGCGCAAGAAAAACCTTCTTGTGCAATGCTGTTACACCTATTACTTTTCAGGAAGAACAGCATTGCGCAAGACAGTGTAGAAGCTCCTTCTTTCGCAAGAGCCTGAGTAAGACTGAGTAGGGTGAGCAGAGCCCCCCCACCCCTTTCTTCTGCCAAAGCTGGTGGGGTGGGGTTGGCTGAGTGGAGGCAGAGTCCTTTGCCTGTCTCAGGGCATCTCAGGCTTCTTGCATCCCAGGAAGAGGAGGGGGCTCCAGGTGGAAGGAAAACAAGCAAAACTAGTTCCAGTGGGCATGGGATAGGGCTCTAGTTTGGCCCAGATGAGTCAGGGGTGCCTTGTGTAGGTCCCATGGTGTAAGAGGCAGCACTCCAGACTCTGAATTGTACGAGCTGAGTTCAAATCTCAGTAGAACTTGCTGTGGCTGGGCTAGTTGCTACAAACCCCTCAAAATCCATCTTCTTTGGCTTCTTGTCCTGTAGGTTCCATAGAGAGGAATTTGTGCCCAAGTCTGAGAACACCTACCCCTGTGTCTGGCAGTCTGTGAGGGGCTGGGGCTC